CATTATCTGAGGCCATGAGAATATCATTAGTGACTTTCACCAGAGCTGTTTCAGTGCTATGATGAGCTCTAAAGCCAGACTGAAACTCTTCAAAAAGTTCATTATGGTGTAAGTGATCACAGACTTGTTTAGGAACTACTTTCTCAAGAATTTTAGATAAGAGAGGAAGTTTCTATACAAGTTTATAATTGACCAAATCATCTCGTTGAAGAGACGGTTTTTTAAGTAAAGTTTTAAATACAGCTACCTTAAAAGCCTGAGGTACATAACCCTGTAACAGAGATAGATTAATCACATCTAAAATGAAGGAGGGAATACCTCCTTAAATAACCCGGTTGGAACTGGATCTAACATACAAGTTGAAGGCTTAGATGAAGATAGTTTATCTAACCCTGAGAGCTAAACTGGAACAGAACAGTCCAAACCCAGGAGCAAGTACTACAGAGGAAATAACAAATAGTTTAACACTAGGGGCCCTGCTAAATGCGATACATATTCCAGCCTAAAGCCTATATGCTGTATTGCGATTTATTTAACTAATTCATACACAATTGTATTTAATAGACCATTATCTTCTGCAACAAATGCTTGTTCTCCTGCGATATCACCAAACTCAGCATAAATTATTATAACAAAAAACTGACTTCCACTCTTTTACAAATCATATTTTTTACATATTTGGAAATTCAAAAAATATGTCCATGTCGTCATTAATTCAATGTATAGGGTCTTTGCTGTTTTCTTATTTAGAAAAGGCGCTTAAAACCTGCTTATGCTGTTGTCTGTTTACTACCTGAACAAAACACAACCTTTGTTGTTGGGTAAAAAACGCCAAATAGGAAAGGTAAGGAAACATATGAAGTACAAGGCCAGTGCAGCAAACTGAACAAAACAGACTGACAGTGACAAGATTTCAATACTGCGTGAAACCGAAGCAGTCATTGCGACTAAATAATATTTTATAAGTGGGATGAATGCTGTTTGGGCAATGTAGGTCCAAAGGAATACACATATAATATATATACATAAAGGAATACATACAGCACTTTTTAATTGAATTAGGTCAACTTTTCACCTTTAAGCAAATTGAGAAATCAAAACTTGTTCTCTGTATCCAGCTTATATTCCTTTACTCCCAAATATTTCATACACTACATTTCATGTTTAAAGGATGGAAAAGGTTGTATTTTATCATAATAGTCACTAATAGATGGATGTTTTGCAGAGGTGGATGTTATATAGAACACACAAAATGACAATCTGTATTACATGTAAAAAGTCATTAATGCACAATGCTTGTCTCCATTTTTCTGCGGCCTACAGATTAAAACATCAATGGCATGAAGGCAAAACCTTGCTGTGACCTCCCTGAATTTGAATTAATGAGATATTTAGACTGTGGTTCTTGTCCCTCACTGCCCTGAGGGAATACATGATTATCCCAAGTTGTGCAGTACATCTTCATCTATTAATTTCCCCCTGACACTAAGTAGGAAGGCACATATTCAGCAGCTATTCTGCTTATTTAGCTTTCAGCTGTACTGTGTGGGTCAAGTGGCAGTTTGGTAAAACTGAAGGGGGGCACTGAAGCGACAGCCCTTTTGACTTCTCTGCACCCTGAGTAATGTATTTTCTAGCAGGCGTAATTAGACAAATCCTCCTCCCCCTTTGAGAACTATATCACTTGCATGTTCTACAGTGGCCTCGATTCTTGACAGTACTCTACAAAATCATTTATTAAAGATGATCTGGGGCTAATTTTACTAAAAAAACTTTCAAAAACAGACTGCTCTTTAGCATATCATCTTAATTTTTTGTTAACATTCTGACAAAAAAAGAAAAAAGCAAAGAAAGAAGAAATCACAGTAATCTTTTTAGGTATGTATTTTCTTCTCATCTTTCTCCTTTTGTACTTTTGCAGTTGTAGTTCCTTATTCCAAACGTTTTCAGATATGAAAATTATGAAATTATTTTACTTAGATAAAGGTTCTTGGCCCAACCTGTGTTAGTTTGATCTCTTAATAACATTTTTTTTAAGTATGTTGTTACAGCAGTCCACTGGCGGTTCTCAAAATAAATATGCTGTAGATGGACACAGTGTCGAGTGTTATTAAATAACTCATCTATTTTAGTGGCTGCAGTCTCCTGGCTTTGTATCAAAGCTCAACATAAAACTGATGTAGACTCATGAAGTGGCAGTTTGTCTCCCCCAGTGCAAATTGCTGACTCTTGATACGTAAATTGCAGGTCATACAGTATGTCATGCAATAGTAAGCACCTGAAAGTTGGGATTTTGTGATTTTCTGTCCTATTTCTTCAAGTCACCAGATTATTCTACAAAACTTCAGTCTGCTCAGAGCCTGCTCCTAATCTGTTAGCCATCATCCAGTCAGTTCATAGCCTTGTCCCAGTCTGTCAGCCATCATCCAGTTGGTTCACAGCCTTGTCCCAGTCTGTCAGCCATCATCCAGTCTGTCAGCCATCATCCAGTTGGTTCACAGCCTTGTCCCAGTCTGTCAGCCATCATCCAGACTGCTAGCCATCATCCAGTCTGTTAACCATCATCCAGTCGGTTCACAGCCTTGTCCCAGTCTGTCAGCCATCATCCAGACTGCTAGCCATCATCCAGTCTGTTAACCATCATCCAGTCGGTTCACAGCCTTGTCCCAGTCTGTCAGCCATCATCCAGACTGCTAGCCATCATCCAGTCTGTTAACCATCATCCAGTCGGTTCACAGCGTTGTCCCAGTCTGTCAGCCATCATCCAGTCTGCTAGCCATCATCCAGTCTGTTAACCATCATCCAGTCGGTTCATAGCCTTGTCCCAGTCTGTCAGCCATCATCCAGTCTGTCAGCCATCATCCAGTTGGTTCACAGCCTTGTCCCAGTCTGTCAGCCATCATCCAGTCTGGCAGCCATCATCCAGTTGGTTCACAGCCTTGTCCCAGTCTGTCAGCCATCATCCAGACTGCTAGCCATCATCCAGTCTGTTAACCATCATCCAGTCGGTTCACAGCCTTGTCCCAGTCTGTCAGCCATCATCCAGACTGCTAGCCATCATCCAGTCTGTTAACCATCATCCAGTCGGTTCACAGCGTTGTCCCAGTCTGTCAGCCATCATCCAGTCTGCTAGCCATCATCCAGTCTGTTAACCATCATCCAGTCGGTTCACAGCGTTGTCCCAGTCTGTCAGCCATCATCCAGTCTGCTAGCCATCATCCAGTCTGTTAACCATCATCCAGTCGGTTCACAGTCTTGTCCCAGTCTGTCAGCCATCATCCAGTCTGTCTGCCATCATCCAGTCTGTAAGCCATCATCCAGTCTGCTAGCCATCATCCAGTCTGTTAGCCATCATCCAGTCTGCTAGCCATCATCCAGTCTGTTAGCCATCATCCAGTCTGTAAGCCATCATCCAGTCTGCTAGCCATCATCCAGTCTGTTAGCCATCATCCAGTCTGTTAGCCATCATCCAGTCTGTTAGCCATCATCCAGTCTGTTAGCCATCATCCAGTCTGTCTGCCATCATCAAGTCTGTCAGCCATCATCCAGTCTGCTAGCCATCATCCAGTCTGTTAGCCATCATCCAGTCTGTTAGCCATCATCCAGTCTGTTAGCCATCATCCAGTCTGTTAGCCATCATCCAGTCGGTTCACAGCCTTCTCCTAATCTGCCAGCCATCATCCAGTCTGCTCCTAGTCTATAAGCAATCAGACTGGAGACTTTGCACTGTATACTGTTATCACTCCCAAAATCTCTCAGAATGACATCCGTGGTTCAGAAAAACAGCATGATAATGCTGGACTAAACTTTTGTGGTAAAACAGCCTCTCCTAACTCCACTGGATACTCTCACACCACAAATCAAAATGTCTCCTTTGGCCATTAGTCTCTCTCTCTTCTCTCTTGGGCATGCAACAAGCTAATGATTATAGGGTTGTGCTGCATAAAATGTGTAGTTGTACACATTTTCTGAATTAGCATTATTATTTATTGTTTACTGTGGTAAAGCTAAGCGGACTCAGCTGTGTTATGTCACTTCCGGCAGCAAGGGGGGGAGGGATGGGCCGTGTCCATCCAGAGAGACACCTGTGCCCACCTTGGACTGGAAAGTATTTTATTAGGTTTTGTTTTTTTACTCTGGAGTGGACTACTTTTTATCATTCCTATTATTGATCTGTCAAACACACAATTCAACCAATCCAAACAAAAGGCAAAGGCCACATGCTAGCCATTTACATAACAGTGGTGCCTCTCTTATCACTGAAGCTGGTGTGACATAAAAATATGCAGGCTGCTGTCAAAAGTACTGATTGAACAAAAGGGTGGGCAGAAAACAACAAAATAAAATTCTGTCGGAAGCTAAGACCTAAAGTCAAGTGTTAGCTGCATTAGCAAGAAGCTAATAGTGTAACTGTAACATAGGCTATTCGTATTTAGATACAGTGACCAAACGTCCCCGATTTCCAGGGAAAGTCCCCGTTTTGGACCACCTTTCCCAGGCTAAAGCTGTCCCGAGAAATGTCCCCAATTTTACCATTTTATGAATGAGGGGAAATGTTCTGTGTAGACTGTTATTACGGTAGAAAGAGCATGTGAGCATGTTGCATGGAGAAACAGCTGTTAACGTTTAGATGAGGAGCAGAGCGCACCACTTTAAGAACAGAAGAGGAAGTTCGTTATTGCAGCTGGTCACAGCTGCCCTGTGTTATGGTGAGTATGTTAAATGGTTAATTTGTTTTAAACTGGGCTGATCATTGTGATAAATGTTTGGTTCGTGCCCTATTTATTAAAAAAGGGGCTTTGATGTGTTTTGTTTTACTAAAGATGAGGACCGGAAAGGTAACATAAACAAAACTAATCAACAAAAAGTAAGACAGACAATTGGCTGCAGCTGGCATGAGGAAAAAGACTCAACAAAATGAAACAGAATGTTCTGGCTCCTGTCAGTTTTATTAGTAGCCCCCTTGCGGTGTTTTTATGTTACTGCAGTTCTATTGAGCAGGCCTTTCCAGTGTTTATACATACATCACTTCATGCTAAACCACAGATTAAGTTGTCTAAATCTTGGAGCGGAACCAACAGTGAGTATATGTATAGTCGGTTCTTGTAGTTGTTTCCTACCCAGCTGTATTATTTTAGATTGTTTGAGGGAGCTCTTTTTTAAGTTTAAATCCTGCTAAAAATGCTAACGCTAATCGCGAAGCTAATCGCTAGCATGAGGCTAGTCAGGATGCTAATATCAGTTCGTTTTTGAGCTTCTTGTTTGTTGTATTGTTGAATGTGCTGCATTTTTCTTTACAATTCTGTCTTATGTGTTTAATAGAATTGGAACTGTTAAATCTAAATTGTAACACACTGTATATTTCATTTGTATTGCAGTTTTACAAAAAATAACTGAGAAGATTCAGTAAAGCAGCCTCAATCACAGCTAATGGCTCTCTCGTTTGTTCGCTATCTGTCAGCCAGGACAGAATACAGAATGATTTAAACCGCATTGTAAGGTGCTAATCTGGTTCTGTGGTTCTCCAGGGATCAACAAGGGTTCGCCTATAAATGTTTTTAGAACTGAACTGCGGCAGATGGCCGCTCACACTGAGCCTGGTTCTGCTGGAGGTTTCTTCCTGTTAAAAGGGAGTTTTTCCTCTCCACTGTCGCTACAAGCATGCTTGGTGTGAGGGATTGTATTTGAGTCAATGAGTCGATGCAATCAGCTGGTTTTCCTTGGATAGAAAACTTTGTATCAATTTGACTGTATGATCTGGTTGAACTGTAAAGTGTTTTCAGATGACATGTGTTGTGAATTGGCGCTATAGAAATAAACTGAATTGAATTGATCGGTGACCTTTAGTTTATATCTTCAGAGAGTTAGTTATTGTCAGTAAAGTTATAAGTTGTTTTGCAGTTCTATGTGATTTATGAGCATAGACTTCCAGGCTTTCTGCCACTCAATTTGGATATATGAAAGTTCCTCATTATATAAACTCAGAGGCAATAAAGGGAAAACTGAATGAGACAAGATCTGCATGATCTGAGAATAAAGGAGAAAGAGAAACCTGTTTAATGTTCATTTATTATGTTTTTATCTGTAGCTCCAAATATTGGTGATTAACTTTTTTAGTATTTAATCAGGTGAGATAATTATAATAATATAAATTGTATGATGAGACTATATATGTTTGGAAGGGATTTTGATTGTACTATCTGCCTGTTTTAGATTAGTGCTAGACTGATAGAAGAGGAGAGGAAGAATATAATATAACACTCTATAACAAGAGTGAAAGAAGATTGAATGAGAGTGGAGGAAAATATGAACACTGATGGAGAGAGTTGAAGAGAAGGAAGAAAATCTACTTAGAAGAGTAAAACAGAGAGCAGATAGAAGTCAGCTAGAAAGAAAAGAAGATGGAGAGTAGGGCTGAGCGATATAGAAAAAAAGCTTATCGATAAAAAAAAATGCATATTGATCGATATCGATAATTATTGAAAAGATTTGAAACCATATTTTATGTGCAGCTCTGCCTTGACTTTTATAATATTGCTAAATGATTTAATTTTAATAAAAAACACAAACACAGACTTCGAATTAAATCTTTATTTAACCAACTTTTTTAACCATAACAGAATTGTTTTAAAGAAAAATAACTTAAGAGACCTGAGTTATGTTATTAAATACTGACAAAGAATAAACTAAAGTGACCAAAATAAATATAACAAATAAAAAAATGCCCCGCCACCGCCGCCCCCGTTTCCTGCTTTAACCTGAGTTATTACTTTGAAGTTTCTGGCCCCTCAGCATTTTTATCTCAATTGTTAGAACTACGTGGGAAACTGCCCAGAACTGAAAATATATATATATTTTCCGAAGATTCCTCGGAGGAGAGCCGCGTCGGGGCCTACACAGCTCGTACTCCTGCGGCTGTGAGCGGCTGAGATGATAAAAAAAGTTGGTTGTGTTATCAGACTGGTTTTCACTGGTTCCCGACACATTTTCCAGATGACTGTGGTTTGTTTTTGGTCCGACTTGCCATGACCGAAATACTGCCAGACTGCCGAACTACAAAAACCCTTTTTTGGAACTATTTCCTCCGCCTCTCCTTGCTGCATCTTCATGTGCTCTGTGTTGTGGTTTGAGAGGGCGGCGCTTGGTGACGGCGTGCCTGGGTCCGCGATTGTGATTGGTTGGGAGGAAGCAGTGACTAGCATAAACCTACATGCTAGGCTACAATGAGAAGGAAGGAAAACTGCGTTTCTTTTTTATCGAACTTTTATCGACCCTCTTTTTTTCTATTGCGCCACACGTCTATCGATCGATATATATCGTTATTGAATTATCGCTCAGCCCTAATGGAGAGGGAAGAAGACAGAGAACACCGAATGACTAGATGGCACTATTAAACATTATCTATTGATTTATTCATTAAAAAAATCTTAGGAAATAGGAGACGCACATTTAAACTTGAATTTTGTTGTTTAAATATTAATAAATATCTAAAAATAAATGAAAGCATCAATGTCCCTGTTTCCTATTTTAATTTTGATAATATGGAAATCTTTTTATGAGCTAGAAATGTCCCCAGAGTGGATTTCAGAAATCTGGTCACCTTATATTTAGAGCTGGTGTCTCTCAGAAAACTGCCCAAACACACATAAACCTTGGTTAGGTGCAGGCAGAAGGTTAACACCCTGATCTGATCCTTTTCTGAGAGACACTGGCTCTAAATACACATATAATACACAAAAAAATGTTAATAAGTATGGAAAAAAAATGACCAGCATCCTTATAGTGGACTGAAAATGTAACACAAGAACAGATGTTCATGGATTTTAGCATTTAAACAAAGTGCAGCCTGTACTAAAATGGGAGATGATCACCTTTGCACCTTTCTTTAGTCTTTAGTCTATTTGTTTTTTATCCGAATTGGAGTATCCAAAAATTGCACGGAAGTAACGGAAGCCCAACTTAATCATGTTTTTCTCAAATAAAAGTAAAAAGTACCTTTTAAAAAAAGACTGAACTAACAGTTAAAAAGTGTTTGGTAAAAAGGCGACTCAAGCATGGAGTAATATATCCACTGACTAGTCATGACCTTAACAACTGTTGTAATATTTTACAAAATTATGTAAAGTTGTACCAAATGTAAAATTGAAATGCAAATTCCGGTGTTTCAAAGAATGAGAAAATACTTAAACATAAAACAGACAGTGATTATGTGCAGTGGAATCGACTCTCTTTAAAGTACATTTTTTTATTTAAAACATTTTTCAAAATTAATAGTTATAGTATGTAAGTATAGGTCAAATTACAGTATACTTATTACTGTATACAGGTATAGTCAGCAGATGGGAAATAAAATTTAACCCATAAGTCTTGAATACAAAAAAGAACTAAGTGATTATCTAAATGGTACATATTTGCTTAAAACAACTTACAATAAATGAAGCAGGTAGAAATTTTACTCTAGAAAGACTAGTGAAACTTTATCATATTTTTACTCATGTAAAACTAAAAAGAACAATGCCGTAAAACATCCTTTTCAAAAAGTTTCTCAAAATTTTCTCAAATGTAACAGAGTGATTGTAACTACCAACCTCTTTCTGATGTAATAATGCTGAATTGTTTTCCTGATGGAAGTGAAGTGGGACAAACCGTGTACATTGCCCAGGTGGTGCTGCAGTAGTTTATCAATGTATATTTTTAGATTGATTTTCAACTTTTGGGTGAATAGAATGGACATGGAATTGTACAAGTTACTGATTTCTATGGAAGTAAATATGTGCCATCAGAATTTGAATAAAAAATACCTCTGAAATTTGAATGTTGTATATTAGTGCTTACTTTTTCAGTATTAAAATAAATTCAGAATATATTTTTAACCTAAAAAAATTCAATGTCATTATTTGTACATTAAAAAAAAAAATTCAGTGTAATTTTTTTTACATGGTTGCAATTTTCAGTTATTAAAAAAATTTACATTCCTATTTCAAAGTGATCAAATTTTCAATATACATATTTTTCACAGTTTAAATTTTCAGTGTTAAAAAATTCAGCATATAAAAATTCAACTTTTCAAAATTCAAATGCAATATTTTCGTTGTCCTCCAATTCAACTTGCTCAAATTCACTGTCTCAAATTCAGCGTCTAAAAATTCGCTGTAAAAATGGCCAAGGTTACTTCAGGTCACAGACATTAGCAATGGATGTCCGATTCCAACATCCACCTAATCACGTGACACAACCGTCATATTGAAGAAGTACCAGTATCACCCAGGCTGGCGACCATGGAGGCCAACTCAAACCCAACGGTGAATTTAATGCTTTCATATTTCTGTAGTATATTTTATTTTGCGCATGAAGTTTGATACATTATCTTAAAGCCTGATTTAAAACACTGGTTTGGGCCGTTGTTAATCTTACACCGTGTAGTGCCGGCATATTACTTCTCGCTACCTCCGAGCTAACAATACAGTAGCTGATCAGAGTGGGGTTGGAACTGTTCACAGCCCCTCTTTGAAGCACACAAGACAGCCATATTAGCTTACTACATTAGCGGTGGCATCTCCTGAAAAATTACGACTTTACTAAGACTGCCTGGAAAAGTGGTATTTCTTTTTGAAATAAAACGGGGGAAATTGGGTGGGGGGAGGGGGGTAATATGCCGGCACTACACGGTGTAAGATTAACAACGGCCCAAACCAGTGTTTTAAATCAGGCTTTAAGATAATGTATCAAACTTCATACGCAAAATAAAATATACTACAGAAATATGACAGCATTAAACCCACCGTTGGGTTTGAGTTCGCCTCCATGGTCGCCAGCCTGGGTGATACTGGTACTTCTTCAATATGACGGTTGTGTCACGTGATTAGGTGGATGTTGGAATCGGACATCCATTGCTAATGTCTGTGACCTGAAGTAACCTTGGCCATTTTTACAGCGAATTTTTAGACGCTGAATTTGAGACAGTGAATTTGAGCAAGTTGAATTGGAGGACAACGAAAATATTGCATTTGAATTTTGAAAAGTTGAATTTTTTATATGCTGAATTTTTTAACACTGAAAATTTAAACTGTGAAAAATATG